ACTTCCTGTCTTTCTACTTTGTTTCTACGAAATCCTTCTTTCCACACTCTGCAAGGCCACAGGTTCAGCTCTATAGAAATTCCCAGGGCCCACAGAGAATGCAGAACTAACTAACATGGGGAAATCAGGGGAAGGCTTATCTATTCAGTTAAGACTAACATATATGGTGACTCAAACTGTCTAGAGGCTGAATCATCATTTTCCTCTCCAATTCCCCCTCCAAACTTCTCTATTTCTATTGTCCAGACTCAAGATCTTGATGTCATTCTAGAGTCCTCTTTCTGCTTTCCTGCACACCCAGAACCCATCGTGTCAGTTTTCCTTGCCTGTACGGGGAAGACCTTTCCCTCCAACTGGTCCCGTCACTGCTTCCCTCAGCCCAGGCTCTCCTCACCTTTCACCTAGAGGAGCAGACTGTTCTCCCAGCTTCACTCACTTCCTGTGCTAATCTGTCGAGTTCATCACTGTCAGAATCTTCTGCATCACTCATTGCTCTGCTCAAAATGCTCCAGAGGTTACTCATCACTCATAAATGAAAGTCCAAATATTATACTTAGCGAGGCCCACCACATTTTGGTCCCACCCCACGTACCTCTCAAATCTTTTCTCCTTACTCTGACACAGCTCCATGTCTCTCTTAAATATTTTGTTAATTCTCTCCTCTTCTACCTCTAGTCTGAACTGGATTTAGGGATGTTTATTCAAATGCTGAATAAAGTATTATGATGCCCGATCTTAATTTTTAAAATTTTAAACTACAATACACCTTAATGCCCATGTATGTACTTTTCTCAGTGGGTTAGTAGCCCTCACAAAAGCAAAGTTCCCAGGCCCAAGGTAAGACCTTGCTTTTTCCAAGCTCTTCTTTTAAAAGACATAGATGTGGGGCCGGCCTTGTGGTGCAGCGGTTAAGTTCGCATGTACCGCTTCGGCGGCCCGGGGTTCACCAGTTTGGATCCCAGGTGTGGACCTATGCACTGCTTATCAAGCTATGCTGTGGCAGGCGTCCCACATATAAAGTAGAGGAAGATGGGCATGGATGTTCACTCAGGGCCAGTCTTCCTCAGCAAAAAGCGGAGTATTGGTGGCAGATGTTAGCTTAGGGCTAATCTTCCTCAAAAAATAAATAAACAAATAAATAAATAAAAGATACAAATTCTGCAAATTGCACCATATTAGGTCCTAGAAACTTTGCATCAAAGATTATCAGACCACTTTCCTCTAAGTTATGAAAGAGCTGGGAACAGAATAGGACACTGGGTGACTGAAAAGAAAGTGCTGAAACAAGCTGGAAGGAGCAACAAGGAATGCCAATGGGGAACCGGAGATGATTTCAGCTGCACTGGGAAGTGTGCGGCACATCCATTGTATCTCCACGTGGATGGACCAGGGCCGTCAGATCCCTTGACTCCCATGACAACACACTCCATGTTTCCTCCCTACTTCCCTGGGCTTCTGCTTCTTAGTGGCCCTTACCTGCCCATTCCTGCGTGCACACCCTCTGATTGGCGCGTGTGCCTCGCTGCTCCACATCCTCCCCAGGCCCTCTCACTCACTCCAAGACTTCCATTGCTAAGGAGTCCACATCACTAGTTCTAGCCCATTGTCTCTTCTGTGCTCCAAACTCATGCATGCAACTCCCACTGGATTTGCCCCACAGGCTCCTCACATTCCACCGCATTTTCTCCAAATCTGTCATTTCTCTCAGAATATAGTGCTTTGGTATTCCTCACTGCTCCTTCCAGAACATGTATAATTCAAATACCTCATCCATCTAAGTGAGCACTTTTCTTTGAGCCATCTATCTTCCTCATACCCCACGTCTAACCAATCACCAAGTTGTGTTGATTCAACCTTCTAATAACCCAAATACATCTGCTTCTCTCCATCTTCACTGCCACCACCCAAGTCCAAGCCATCCTCACCTGGATGATTCAATAGCCTTCTTCCCACATTTGCTCTTTCCCCGTTAGAATCCATATAGATCTTTTAAAAACACAAGCCTAATTTTGCCACTCCCCTGCTTAAAACACCTCAAAACTGCCCTCAGGATAAATATAATCTCCTTAACTTGTTTACAAGGTTGCCCATGACCTGGCCCTGCCTACTTCTTCAGCCTCATCTCATGATACTTTGCCCCTCACTCTCTTGGCTTCTGCTACACTGGCCCTTTTTCGGTTTCTCTAATAGAACATGACCCTTCTAGCATGTGCGTAGCTTCTAGTCTCTGCACATGCTGCTCCCATTGCCTGAGACATGAATCTCTTTCCCTACATCTACTTGCACCTTCATCTGGCTAAATCCTACCCTTCTTATCCATTATGTTACCTTATTCAAGAGACTCTCTATGACTTTTCAGACTAGATTAGGTTCTCCCCTTTCCCCTACATAGATCTCCATAGCATCCCATACTAATTCTTTCTTAATAACCTCCACATTAGTGATCATATGTGCAAAATATGGCTTCTCTGCTAGCAGAGATGCTCCATGAGGTTCAGAACCATGTTTGTTTTAATCACTACTCAGTCCTCAGCTCCAAGTATGATCCCCATCTTCTATGAATGAACGCATGAATTGATAACCTTTAATAATTATTCCAGCCTACTATACCCACTATAGACAAGCTTGTATTCTTTTTTTTTTAAAGATTGGCACCTGAGCTAACATCTGTTGCCAATTTTCTTTTTTTTTCTTCTTCTTCTTCTTCTTCTCCCCAAAGCCCCCCAGTATATACAGTTGTATATTCTAGTTGTGAGTGTAGACAAGCTTGTATTCTACTTAGAATTCCTTTGACTATAACCTGATTTTTGGCTAGCCACATTTGAAATTCCCTGCAGCAAATCTATGCTTTCCATTCTATGTCAAGGAGAGGTCTACACTAGCAGAGTAAAGAAAGATCTAAATTTCACGGTTAGAGGAAGGGGAAAATATCCTGAAAGGGGAACAGCCTGAGCAAAGGGAGAATGTTGGACATTTGGGGAGAGGAGAAAGGAAACTAACACTAAAGTAAACACTCTCACAAAAAAAATCTCATTTAATCCTTCCAAAACCCTATGAAGTAAAAATTGTTAGCCCAGTTTTACAGATGAGGCAACCAGAGCTCTAAAAGTTAAGTAACCTGCTCAAGGCCACGAAATAGGAGACACAGACACGCAATGTTATGCCTTATGCTTGTACTCACTCTGTTTCCTCAGCCTGGAATATCCATTCTCCACTTCAAATCTAACTCTTCAAGACACAGCTCAAATGCAGCTTCCATGAAATCTTCCCTAATTCTCTGTGTTCACTTCAGTCACTTCCTTCCTGTCTGTCTGCTGTGTCTCTATTGCAACATTCCTTTTTTCTGCTTGTACTATCAGTAATCTGCACAGGTCTTCCCCACAAGTTCTAAGCTTAAGGGCAAGTGGAGTTCTTTGCCACCTCTTTCCCCATGGCTTCTGATACAATGCCTTACACACGATGGAACTGTGAAGGAGGTTGCCAAGCTGGCTTCAGGAAGCTTTTGCAGAGCTGTACTCTATAGGAACACCTGCTCCCCTCTACCCCCAGGTCCTCCTGCTGAGTCCAGGCTCTCTCAGTGTGCTCTTTCTCTCCCAGGGGAGCCATAGTGCCTTTGAGCAACCCAGCAGAGGATACAATGGCCTACTGGGGATAGCACTAAGACATCATGGATGCAAGAGTGCAGAAAAGGGAAAATTAAGATCATATTCTTCCTTGGATGTTTCTTTTTTTAATCAAAATACTCCAAAACGTGTCTAGGCTTTCAACTCAGAAACCTAAACTTCCTTTTATTGAGGGTAATAAAGTCCCTAGATGGTCCCTCATGTATATCAAGCTTTCTAGAAAACAAGACTAAGTCATCATCACTTAACAGATGGGGTAAAAATGCCATTTCCTTCTAATTTACCAGCAACTGTTACATATTTCTGTACTAGAAAAGGAATTTATTTCTATTTCTACTCAGAGTAACAAAGTTAAAATTGACATTAAAGTAATTAAAAAGCATGTATCTATTTGTGACTCAGTTGTACATGTGACAGAGAAAGATTCTACAAAAGGATAGTAAGGAACGAGTCGAGAGTGGGCACTATGTAACCAACTATATTTCAAGAGCACAGAGGTGCCATAAAGCAGAACATGGTCATGTTCAGGTAGTCATGAAATATGGAATGGACAGCCAGGGCCAGAAGAACCTCAGTAGTCATCCAGTCCAACCTCCTCCTTTATAAATAAGGAAAGCCCAGAGATGTGCAGGAATTGCCGAAGGTCACACAGCTGGTTAGAGTCAGAGCCAGATCTAACTCTCTTGCCTCTCCAAGCACACCGTGTGCCACACCTGCCACTCCCCACTCTGTGCCACAATTGCTCTAATCAGGGGCCCATCCTCCCCAGCAGTCAGGAGTTCATTCCAAAATGAGGGAGGAGAGAACTGTGCAGGGGGCATAGGAACTTTGCTATTGACTATTTGCATACATAATAAGTCATCCTGATATCACAGAAAATGCTTGTATTGATGTTTCTAAAAAGTGCTTTGAAAAACTGTAAAGTATCGTATAAACGTTAGATTTTTAGTGTAATTATAATATGATTTGTACCCGGGATGTTAACTCAACAGTACCAACTTTATTATTGCCATTTTCACAGCTAATATATCTTTATATCTGGAATCAGAATTTGGCCAAAATGAAGGCATCTTATTAGGTTCTTAATTTGCCTTATTGGAAAATTAATCTTCCAGAGAGTGGAGAATTTGACGAGAGCAATACTAACCTAGACGCAATTCTATCTAAGAAGGAACCAATTATGTGAAAGAGGAATTTTGAGATAAAGTGCATGTCACCTTGAAGTTTGTGTTAGAAAAGGGAAGGACAGTCATACATAGTAGTAATCAGAATAGGTTAGGTTATACCACAGTAATAAACTCTCAGATCTCAAGGACTTAGCTAAAGATTTGTTTCTTACTCATGCAAAGTTTAATGCAGGCTGTTCTAGTCTCGTACCTTTGCAGCCACACCTCATCCATTTGTAGCCACACCATCTGGAATATGTGACTTCCAAAGTTACTGCATCAGAGGAAGTTGGAGATGATGGAGGCACACAGCTGCCCTTGATTGCATCAGCCTAGAAATGTAACACATTACGTATCACTTCCTGTTCACAGTGAATTGGCCAGAACAAACCATGTGCTTCTAATCTAACTGCAAGGGAGACCAGAAAATGAAGACAGACATTTATGAAGTAATCCCATAAACAAACTGGTGGACATTTAGTGATCCCAGTCTACCACATATATGTTCTCTAGATTTCAGGAAAGCAAATATCAAAATGCTCAAAGTATCCCATTTGTATAAAAACAAATCTACATATGCTTTGAAAAAAGAAAGACTGAAAGGAAATACACCAAAATAATAATAGTGAATACCTGTAGTTATTTAATTTTTTGTGGGTTTTATTTTCTTCTTTATATGTTTTATATTTCCCTAGCAGTATTTAATAAACATATTCTAGAATCCAAAAAAGTAATGCAACTTATTTTTTTAATTGAGAAACAAGTTCAGACCAGAGATAACTATGACTCCAATGAGGCAAATGACTCAAAAGGAAGGGGAATTTCTTTAAAATACTCTTCTGATTAGAGAATTACTACTAGCAGCAAGAAGAAAAGTGAGAGACAGGCACAGACATGACTGTTGCCATACAGGAAGCTTTCTGATGAACTCTGATTTTTAAAGTCTGAGAAAGACAAAAAGAAGGGCACAAAGCCAAGGGAGAAGTCAAAGAGGGGGCACAGCCCTGTTAACCACCATCTCAAGAAAAGAGAGAAAGGATTTAGAAAGAAAAAAGCACGTAAATTAGGGAATAAATGAGCTAAGGCTAAGAGAGGGGATCACAGCTAAATGGGGATTCGGTGGCTCAACATGAAGCAGTCCCATCCTGCCGCAGGCTTCCTCCAACTTGAATTTCTCCATCCACTCCAAGCCATCCCTCAGCTCTCCAAGTTCCCAGAGCACTTGCCCAAAGTTTACCCAAAGTCGAATGGGTAAAGACCTTAGTGGGGGTCTACACAAGGCCCTGTCCATCCGGCTTTTGCCTCCCTCCTCATCTTCATCTTGTGACCCTCTCAGCTCCCCCATCTCTGGGCTCCAGCCTCAATGCCCTACTTTCATTTATTTGACCTGCATGGCCTTTGCTCAGCCTGGAATGTTCCCACTTCCCTCCCCATTGAATTACCCACTCCTAGTCTAAGCCTGGCTTCTCTGTTAGATGCCCTTGCTACACTTATCCCAGTTAGTACTTATATACTCATTGAGGGGATTATTGATGAACATCCACTGTCAGCTTCCAGGAGAGCAGGAACCAGAGCTGGTTTTGCTCATGGATGGGGTTTCATCCTTTTTACCCCCTTTTTTACTTATGGGTAAGAAGCCAAGGGAGAGATTATTTCTTCATCTTACCCCCTCTTTACTGAAGAGCCAGTGTGACAAGATAGTAGAATATTTGAATTAGCAATCGAGGAACAGTGAGTTTTCATTTTTATTCCCACTCTCATATGAACTCTCCATGTGACCTTGGGACCTTAGCACTTCCCCTCTCTGAGTCTGTTTCCTCTTTCACAAGATAAAATTTTAATCTAGAGTGTCTGAGGTGCCTCCCTCTCCCACATGTCATTCTAGGTCCTTCAACAGACTAATAAGACAAAGCAGAAAAACTAGAAATTAAAAAGAGTAAAGGAAAGGAAGAGGTCACATTAAGAAAAAGAGACCACCTCGTGAGCCTAGGCTCTGGTGTCTGAATCCCATTCTGGCAATTTGGTGATCTCGCAACCTTGGACAGATTGCTTAATCTCCCTGGACCTTGACTTCCTCTTCTGTAAAATGTGATAAGAATACCTGCCCCACAGGTTTGATGAGAGGATTAAATGAGCGAATAATTAAATGAGAGATTGATAATTAAGTGAGATAACACCTGGAATATGGAAGACTATGTTACATGTTAGGTCCTTTCCTCCTTCCCACTAACTTCCATGGAATTTAAAAGCAGATTATAACTAAATAGCACATGAGTTGAGACAAAAGGCTCAACTGTCTCTGCATGTGATGGTTTATGCAGACTTTATTCCTCTGAAGATGCTTTCTACCACCTAAAAAGAAAGAATTGAATCCCCTGAAAATTTGCAGAAGTTGTATTTCTCTCTTCACTCAAGCAATCCTGTCAGATCCAACTATGTGCAATGATTTTAAAGTTGGTTCCAAAGATGTTTACAGATGTTTCTTGTCTTCATGATACAATAGCAGGAGCATGACTAAAGTCCATATCCAGACTCCACCACTGACCATGTACTCAGTTCAGTTGATCACCTTCAACCTTTTCCTGTATGTCACAGAATAAAATGAGATTTCATTGGAGAAGAAGAAGGGGTGGGTATTTCAAACCATTTCATTTTTATGTTTTTTTGAAACAAAGAATCCTAGAATCACCAAATGATAGGGTGTTTGAGGCAGGAAAGACCTTTCAGGATGATCAATTTCAGCCCTGTCACTTGGTGTTGGTGGTGATATGAGACTCGAGCATCTACATGCAGTGGGAAGAAAAGATTGGACTTGTAATCAGAAACCTGAGTTCAAGTGCTGGCTCTGCTAGTTTTGTCACCGCCAGCTGGTCACTTCACCTCTTCAAGGGTCCTCAGCTATGAAAGAGGATAGTAATCACTACCTCTTGTACATAAAGTGAGGAGCCAGCATGACAGGGCAGGTGAGAGCTCTTTGTGAACTATAAAGCAGTTTTCTTTCTTTTTTTTTTTTTAAAGATTGGCACCTGAGCTAATAACTATTGCCAATCTTCTTTTTCTTTTCTGCTTTTTGTCCCCAAATCTCCCCAGTACATAGTTGTATATTTTAGTTGTGGGTCCTTCTAGTTATGGCATGTGGGATGCCACCTCAGCGTGGCCTGACAAGAGGTGCCATGTCCACGCCCAGGATCTGAACCAGCAAAACCCTGGGCCACTGAAGCGGAGCGCACGAACTTAACCACTTGGCCAGGCCTATAAAGCAGTTTTCAGATGAAAAGCATCACTCTTTGGACCCACAACCTCCAAGCTTATAAAGCATATCCAGTCACCTACCAAAATATATCATCTCATCTTGCATATCTAACTTTGTGAATCACGAAAGAAAAATACTGATGCCTAACAAAACCCCTGGTACAGAACAAGCGCATAGTAAATTTTTTTCTGAATGATTTAGGTGAAACTGACTAAAGAAGAGTTTTGGAGGCTTCCTCAGAGTCAAGTGGTAGATGCATGAAGCCACCCAAAGTCCTTGAAACAGAACAGCCCCCAAATACCCTTTGGGCTCCAGTAGAACTCTACCTAGCATGTTCCTCTCTCCGTTTCCCAGAAAGAGGTGGTCTGGTGATAAGGCTTACATATAAAGCAACCTGGGCTCACACTCACAGAAAAGTAGGCTCCCCAAGACAAAGCAAGGACCACTCACTCTCTAAATCTCACCCTTATTGTTTTTCCTTTAAAAACCAGTTTCCATGAAGGTCACGTGAAGGAAAAAGTTAGGTGAGACCCCAAACTGAGTTGGCTGTCCAGAAAAAATTCAAATTCTCCTTGAGAAATCCAACCAAGCACATTTGGGGAATTCTCTACAACAGAGGAGTGGCATAGGCCAGGATGGGTGTTACCGCTAATGGTGGAACCAAGGGTGTTTTCCTGGATTACCAAAGAGACGCTACATATTCCTCCCAGAAACTAAATATCTTTAGGGTTTCACTGGAAGCCTTCACCTGAAAATTTCCTCCCTGTTGAAGTTTTCAAACCAATATTTTCATAAGAACTATATTTTCTTTGGTGAACTAAGGTGTTACAATGATGACTATATAGATTCCCAAGTGACAGAAGCCATTATTAGTGTTGTTATTATTTTTGTTTAGTTGCATCTCCATGGCAGCCCACGTTCACAATGTGCTTTGCAACTGTTTCTTAGTAATAGTTCTCACAAGATCTCTGGGAGGCAGAGGGGGTGACCAGGATTAATATTTCTGTGTTGCCTGAAGGGGAACCATGGACGTAGAGCATTGTCTACCATCATTGCTCATACAAGAATCCATCCTGAGACATTCAAGCTGTAGCCCAATCTGGTCCTACATTTACATTGCCCACAACCAGGATACCAGTTATTTCTGTGGCTCTTGTTTATAACTATCGTAACACCAAGTCTATGACCAGGAAGAAGTGGACTGGGCAATAGAATCAGAATCAGAGATTTTGCACCTAGGATAGACCTTAATGTTCATCTAACCAAACCCATTATTTAAAGTTAAACAAGACCAGAGAGAATACTTTACCCAACTCACACAAGCCACTTTACTCCCAGTTCTGAGCTTTTTTGCTTTTTTATACCATGTTGTGTTGCAGTGCCTTGCCTTTCCCTCTTTAGCATTTTTTTCCTCCTCTACCTTCTTTTCCCATCTAGCTTCTTTATTTAAAATTTACATGGCTTAAACTCCAACCAGGAAGCCTGAAACATTTACCTGCTAAGAGTCTGGTGTTCTACCCCCTGAACTGGGCTAGCCTCAAGTACTGAAAAAGTCTTTGATGATAACAGCCAGGCAACACTGCTATAGTGTCATATTCAAGAGTCCCTTCCTTTCCTCCAATCTCCATTCTTGAATCCAGCCACTGGCTTCTGGCTGGGGCCTTGCCTATACCTCCCTGAGTCTGCAGCTATCTTCACACACCTTGGGTTTATCTTAGAGAAGACCAGGGCCACTTTGCTATAATGTGGCCAAGGCTGAGAGTTCTCTCCTGAAGCACTGTCATTCTGTAAGGAATGGGTTCAGAGAAGCAGGGGATTAAGACTTTGGTGGTTGAGTATCACTTTTGTCTTCTCTACCCTGCCCTAACCAGGAGATTGTCACCCCATATTCAGAGTGATTTATGCCTGTTCAAGCAAAGCTCCCTCTTCACAAAAGATTGGTCATCTTCCCTCAAGGGCCACTCCTAGGCTGCCAGGGGCTGCCAAGTATTCTGTCAATTCATACTTAGCCCTGGGTTGCACTAAACAAATTAAGCCAAAATACAAACTACAGCTCCTAAGCCCCTCTCCAACTCTATCCATCCATAATTCTTATCTTAGGACTTCTCCCTTCCTCTCTCACCACATATTTTTAGAAACTTAATAAGTTTCCTGCTCTTCTTCCCTTTTTCTAAGACCACATGTTTACAGTTGTTTAGAGCAGAGCAATAAATAAATGAGCCAAGTCAGAAACTCTTGGAATCTCTGCAAACAACACTATTATCAAGTATATAATCTATCATTATTTTGGTCAGTATAAGGTTGAATGAACATAAAAAAATACAAAACAGAATTCTTCCCTGTAAATTCCCCATGACGCACTCATGGCCACGCCTACTCCAAAGAAGATAAAAGCACAGAAGCCTGACTCGAGCTAAGTCTCCAGGCAGAGAGGGAGTCATTTCACTGGCACTTGAGTCGGCAAAGGTATCGTCCTTATTACATCTTTGGCTTTTAAAATAATGTTTGTTTTTCTCCTTGGCTGTTATCTCTCAAACTGCCTTCTCTGAAGCTAAAGCCTCTTCCTTCCTTTCTTGTCCCTCCTTGGTTTGGTGGTGAGCTGGAATCACAGTCAGCTTTCAGAAAGTAATTCTTTCTACTGATGGGGAACCAAGAGGGACAGAGAAATTGGATTTATATGAAGGCATTGGTGGGTGCAACCGAGTCTTCCCTTGGAGGGAATCTCTACTACCAAAAACTACTAGGAGAAAACTGGAAATTTCCAACTCTGTCTCTCTCTTGCATCTGTGTAAGGCAAATACCTCATTCTTGTGGGTTTCTTTTTTTTAACTTATCTAAACTTTCGTTGAATGCCTACTATGTGTAATGCATTGGGTTGGGCACATAAGGGATACCAAGATTCTAAAAGAAGTTTTAAATCTAATAGAGGAGGCAGATATGTATATGCAAATACTTTAAGCGAGTGAAAAGAAGAATGAGGAAAATGCTGAGCATAGGCTAAGTCATTCATCAAGTTTCTCCAGAAGCACAGAGAGGAGGTGGTTACCCTTGCAGGCATCTGGTTCAGAGGCTGGTTAGACTGACAGCGACTGGTGTTCTCTGTTGCAGAAATCAAGATGGCGAAAGTCCCTGACCTCTTTGAAGACCTGAAGAACTGTTACAGGTAGGAAATAGATTCCATGTCTTGTAATTTAATGAGGGGATCAAGGCACATTAGAATCCAGCTAGGAGTTACAGTGACCAGTATGGAGTCAGAATGGCAGAGGCTATACAGATGTGTCCTACCTCTGAAGTCAGGGAAGGTTCAGTGAAGACCCAGGGGAACTGAGCATCCAGCATGTTAAACTGAGATGACATTGACAGGGAGACAGCCATTTTAGAAAAATTATTTTTAAGGTCTGCTGAGTCCTAGTGAATTTCAATGTCTACTTAGACATGGCCTCAGTTGGGTTCACTCTCTGTAGTGATACATGCTCTGATGGACAGTAATGGGCTTCAGTGGACTATCAGAGAGAGAAACCATTCTCAGGAAAACTCCTCGATCTCCATCTGGAATAGGAAATGGTTCCAAAGCAATTTGAGCATATGAATACACATACACAGTCAAACATCATTCAAACACAAGAGAAAGGTAAATGAATGAAAAGTTAAAATTAGAGAACACTTTAAACAAACATGGTTCTCCCATTACCCATTAATATATACTAACACAAACTAGGCTATCAAAATGTTGCCTGGATAGTTTGCCAAGTACAAATTATTAATCTGTTTTAGTGAATACATGAAAGCAATGTGTAACACATGATCTATTTGGTTAAAGTTAGAAGGAGGTGCTTCAAAAGTACATCTCTCTTGAGGAGCTTAATATTTTTCCCTGAAATTCAATTACAACTCTTCAATTTGTTAGTCAAGCCTCATTTTTATAGATAAAGCACAGGTAAAGTTCAAGGCCTATCCTGATGATTACTAACTCCAAATTAGTGAGATACAAATTACTGTATGTATGTGTATGTATAGAAGTCCTTAATTTTCAACGATGACAGTAATGCCCATGTGTCTATGTGTTACTCAAAGCTAATGTGGTCATTAAAATACGTTGCCCAGTGACTATAATGATATAACAAACAGAATGACATTCTTATCATCTTGTTTGACAGTGAAAATGAAGACTACAGTTCTGAAATTGACCATCTCTCTCTGACTCAGGTAAGCAAATGACTGTAATTCTTATGGGATTGCCATTCTTATGCAGTATTTTCTCCACCTGAAGAGAACAGCAATGGCTTGAACCCTAGATGCTTTTTGTTTTACTCTCAGTAGAGATACAGAGACATGTATTTCTTCATTATAAGCAAGACCAATTGCCTCTCTACATTAATAGTTGATGGCATTCTTCACGCTCACCAGGTTTTCCCAGAACAGAGCAGAACTATCCTGAAACCCCAAGAACTGAAGTCTCCTGGGCCAGGCTTCATCAGAATATTAGTTATGCCATACTGGGAGACAGCTCCTTTAGGCCACTTCACTAGGGATCTGCCCCCTGAAATGATATATTGTGGTCATCCACTCTGACACCAGCACCCCAGGTTAGAGATAGCCCTCCAAACATAATAGCCCATGAAGCTGAGGTGGAGAAAGCTTGCCAATTAAAAGTGAGAAGTTTGCAGCTACTCACCAAGCTGTGTTATTTTGCTAGGAGACCACAAATAGCCAGTATAAGTACTGCTTTGTACGTCTTTGGTACTGGCTGTAAAAGCTGTTCCAAGAGGAGTATTTCTAAATTATTTGAGTGCTGTCAAGTAGATGTTTAACCTCCTGAGGGGGAACTAACTGGAAGGCTACCACTCATTTAGAGCACTTGTAAACCTGTTTCATTACAATATCTCATTTTTGAGTCTGCAGATGATGATAAAGACTTCCCAAGAGATTACATTCTTTCAGGAAAATCCTGAAAGGAAGAAAGGAAAGGGGTGCGGGGGAAGACTGATGAAACATAGATTAACCAAGACCAAAATGGAGATCCTTCTCACTAAGCCTGTTGAAAAAAACTCCTACTGAAAGGAGTCTCATTCTATGGCCATGGGCAGCCTCTCAGTTTCCATTTTCCTTCCTCACAGAAATCCTTCTATGATGCAAGCTATGACCCACTTCCTGAGGACTGCATGGATACATTTATGTCTCTGAGCACCTCTGAAACCTCTAAGACATCCAAGCTGAACTTCAAGGAGAGCGTGGTGCTGGTGGCAGCCAACGGGAAGACTCTGAAGAAGAGACGGTTGAGTTTAAATCAGTTCATCACCAATGATGACCTGGAAGCCATTGCCAATGATCCAGAAGAAGGTAAGGGATCAAGTGCAATTATATCCTTGTTTTCCATTTTTAAGCAAATGGAAATAAAACCTAGAATCAGAGTAACAAGAGGGCAACCAGGTATTAGTCTGGTAACTATAAGGAAGGAAAATTAATTTCTACCCTTTCCAGCAGGGCAAGAGCAGCAGTGGCCTGAGTCTAGAATATCTGTTCACATGCTCATTCCACAGCCATATTGTAAAGGTCATGTGACTTTTAGCCTTTTGGCAGAAAGCAGTCAAATACTATTAGTGGGTGACCACTTACAAGCTTTGTTCCTCCAAACACTAACTATACCTCTTTAGATAACTTACTTAACCTTTCTGTGCTTCAGTTTCCTCTACTACAACATGGAGATAATCAGAGTCCCTACTTGTTGTGAAGGTTAAATGAGTCAATACCTGCAAGCTTCTAGACTAGAATAATGCCTGGCAAATAGTAAATACCCAATAAATGTTAGCTATTATTGTTGTTAGTATTACTGCTACTACCTGTGTTAATACTGCCAACACTACTCTCTTATCAATGGCTGTATTATCTCTCACCTTCACAACAACCCTACATTCTCATTTTACAAATGAGGATATTAAGTTCAGTGAGATAGTAACCTGACCAAACTCACACAGTGTGTAAGTGGTAGAGCCTCAAACCAACTTCACTTCTATCTGACTGTAGAAATCATGACTTTTCTCCCATGCCTTCACCGTACAAGCCTCTACATTAAACATAAATCCAATATTGTTAAGATAACAGCTAAACACTAATACATGTTCACCTGGAAAATTGGAAAGTACAAGAAAACATAAAAAAAGAGAATAAAAATCACCCACGCTACCACTCAAGAATTTACCACTGCCAGCACTATGGTACTTTCCTTAAAGTCTTTTCTATATATACACACACAAACAAATTTGCTTAAAATTATGTGAATCACACTACATACAGTTTTATGTGCAGCTTTTTTCACTTAGCAATATATAAAGGGCATTTTAGAGTGCCGATTTTCCACTATTATAAATATGACAATGAACATCCACATCAATAAATCTTTATTTCTAGCACCATTTATTTCCTTAGAACAGATTCCCGAAAGTAGAATTAGTCAGAGCCATGAGGATTTGGGAAGCTATGGATACATCCCACTGCTCAGAAAGGTGGTAGACATTTAGACCTGCACCCTCGGTGACATACCTGATCCTTAATGGATTCATTTTTTTCTCAAAGTGCATTCATTTGAAAATATATATGGGGAATACTAGGAGTCTTCCTGGTTGCTTAGAAATCTCCAAACAACCAAAAATGAGAATGTTGCACAAATAACCTCTTAAAAAATAAAACTATTGCCTGAGGAATCGAAGTTTATAAAGAAACAAATAAGTAACCACAGGGATAATCCTAGAACCAATTCTACTACTGACTGGGTGATTTTACTTCTCTCTCAGTTTCCTAACCTGGATTGGAATATTCCTAATGTCCCTTCCATAGCTACTTTCTATGTTGTATTAGAGCAGATATATCGTCTGTGTTTGTACCTAGACATTAACCTGAACTTGCAATAATGATTTTAGGAATCATCAAGCCCCGATCAGTACATTACAACTTCCAGAGCAATACAAAATACAACTTTATGAGGATCGTCAACCACCAGTGTACTCTGAATGATGCCCTCAATCAAAGTGTAATTCGAGACACATCAGGTCAATATCTTGCGACTGCTGCATTAAATAATCTGGACGACGCAGGTAAATGGATGTCTGTGTCACCCTCCCCTCCTTTTATTTCTGTATTTCTTTTAAGCTTTCTGCTTTCAAAGAATAAACCTTCTAGATTCCTAGCTTTGCACAATTCTTCTAGAATAGGATGAAGCACCTCACCCCTGGTAAAAATATCAGGCATTTAGACAGCACTTCAGCCAAGTCTGGAAGCTCCACAAGAGAGAAGTCTCCTATCTTTCAGAGCACTAAGTGCAGCATAAAGTAAATGGTATTTGTCTTTCTCCGTCTAGCTTATTTCACTTAGCATAATGCCCTCAAAGTCCATCTGTCTTGTCACGAACAGCAGGATTTCCTTCTTTCTCATGACTGAATAATATTCCATTGTATATATATATATACCATGTTTTCTTTATCTATTCATCCATTGGGTTTCTTAGGTTGTTTATATATTTTGGCTATTGTAAATAATGTTTTAATGGCACTAGAATAGTCAATCATGTTACTATGCTTTTGGGTTTGCTCTAAGTAACCCTATTGCAAACATCTTTGTGTATGTTTTTCCCCTAGGAGGTTATTTCTTTGGAGCATATCCAAAAAGTGGAACTCCTGGGTTCCTAAGCATAAGCAATTTTACAGCTCTTATTAATCATTGTTCTCTAAGGAAAACCGAACTACTTTTCACTATCATTAGCAACATATGAGTGCATCAGCTTCCCTAAACCCATCCATTTTACTCATGACCTCACAAATTGCAGGGTCTTATCCCACTAATGTCATCACAAGAGATTCAACAAATACTCAGCTCCCAATCATTCACTCAACATAGAAAATTCTAAAAACATTAACCAAGTATTTACCTGCCTAGTAAATATGTCAGACATTGTGAAGGATACAAAGATGTATAAAATTCCATTCCTGATCTCCAGGTACTTACACCACAGTTGGGGACCTAACTACACACATACACACAGAGTAGCCATGTAAACACTTGATCTTATACAAATACAATGGGTTTACTTTCTTTTTGGCTTTTCTCTTTGCCAGTGAAATTTGACATGGGTGCTTATACATCAGAAGAGGATTCTCAACTTCCTGTGACTCTAAGAATCTCAAAAACTCGACTGTTTGTGAGTGCCCAAAATGAAGATGAACCCGTACTGCTAAAGGTCTGTCCTCAGTCTCCAACTTACCTTCATTTACATCCCACATGTTTGTAATGATCTCAATAGGCAGACACCCCTAGCAGGGTGGCACAGTTCTCTTCTCTTCCTAACACAGTCCCCACCTGCCCACCTGCCCCGCCCCCCCATCCTACTTCTCACCTATCCCCAGAGACAATTCTAGGCAGGATCCATGAAAGAGTAAAATGGAGGGGGTAAGAGTGAATAAAAGGTAAATTGCCTTCCTCCTTCTTTTTCCTTTCCCTGCCTGATCCTATTCACCTCCCATCCCAGGGTACCCATTTATTCCATCCATCTTTGATCTTTACTGACATCTATTATCTGACCTAAATAACAGTAACCATTAGGACAATGGTAACTGCCTCCAAGAAACTCAAATAAGCCAGCTGAGGTCAGAGAGGATTCATCATCTGCCAATAGGCACAAAGCAAAAATCTGGGAGCCAAGACTCAAATCATAGCCTTCTGACTCCAGTGCCTCTCTCTCTCTGCATTGGTGCCAGTTTTATCCTTGATCCCAGCCCCATCTCCACGACCACCTTCCACCTCAAACATAGACACACACACACACATGACTACTACAACCTTAGATGGTTTCACCACTGATAAGTGATTCTTATTCAGTAAATGTGTAATCCAAACCTCCCCACCCACAACTAGGATTTATGTGGATGCATGTGTTTCTCTACCTGGATCAAGTAGAGGAAAGTGATGTGATGTCTACAGAGTAGGGCATAACTTCATTCATGAATTACTTCAACAAGTGTTAGTTATTGAGAGCCTTCTAATTTTTAAGCATAGTGCCAACAGCTATGTAGACAGTGGTAAGCCAAAATCCCTAGCCTTATAGAACTTAGTCTTCTGGGAACACAGACAATAGACAAGCCAAAGAACCAGCAAAAGTACAAGAGGCTATAAAGCAAATGAACATGGTGCTGAGATAGAGAAAAATGGGAGGGTGCTCTTTAGATAGAGTGGCAAGAGCAGAGCTCCCTGTGAGATGAGAGCTGCTGATAGGAGACAGCATGCCATGCAAGGGGGTGAGTGGGGTAGGCATTCTAAATCGAGGATCTAAGTGCACCCAGCCCTAGAGCTTCAAGAGCTTACAGGCCAGCTTCAAAGATCAGAAAGAACACTCTGGGAGCTGGGGCACTCAGAAAGAGGAAAGATAAGCAAAAGCTAGTATTTACAGAGCCTTGCTTTTAGATTTCATTTGAGGTACAATGAAAAGCCATTAAAGGGCTTCATACAAGGAAGTGTCCTGACTTTACTTATATTTTCTAAAATGGAGAATAGATCAGAAGGAAGGCAACAGAGAAAGCAAAGAGCCCAATTAGAAGGTTATAACAACTAGAAGGTAGGGAGTGGTGAGACAGGTGGAAGGAGGTAGACAGAATCTGGTTATTTTGGAGGTAGAGTCAACAGGAGGAAGAGAAGAAACTCCATTTACTGACATGGGAAAAACTAGGTTTGGGAAACAAAATCCCTGTTGGCATTGAAAACCCTAAGGAAATCTCAAAAAGATACTTCATTGTTTCAAATTAAAAATAGTAGAGAAGAAGCATCTCAAGTTGGAATCAGAATTTGAATTTTATTTTTCCATGAAAGTATTCTGAGATTCTATTCATACTCACAAGAAGAGTACAGTCTAAAGAGGTCACAATTGTCAAAAATGGTATTGAAAGGATTCAGCTGCTGACATGTAGGAAGTTGTGTGTGTGTGTGTGTGTGTGTTTGGGGGTTTTCTTAGCCCTCAATTGTTGACTTAAATACAGAGATAAACATCTCTAAATTGTAAATTATCTTCTCAATTCTCAAAGTATGACTTACACACTTACAGATCAAAATGTTTACAGGTCTTAGAATTGCTAGTGCTCAGATTTGATGCAAAATGCCTATGCCAAAGCCAGGACAAGAACAATGTTTCACCCTACCTGGGAGGATACAGTGAGACACTAGTGTCATTGGCAATCTTTATAAATAATTTGGATTTCTCTCCAGTTAACTAAGGAAATCAACTATTATGAATAGACTGGGCCATACATCTAATAGGCATGTAATAAATGCTTGCTGAATGAACAAATGAATGAAGAAGCTATATCATCATATTATAGAGTCATGGTCCTACAGTGCTATGTTTTTCACAAAGGCCAAATGCCGAGGGGTTGAGCTTCAGTTCTTTTTCTAGCATCTTCTTGTTTGCTAACAGATCTCTGTTCTCCTTATCATAGGAGATGCCTGACACACCCAAAACTATCAAAGATGAGACCAACCTCCTCTTCTTCTGGGAACGTCACGGCTCTAAGAACTACTTCAAATCGGTTGCCCATCCAAAGTTGTTTATTGCCACAAAGCAGGGAAAACTGGTGCACATGGCAAGGGGGCAACCCTCTATCACTGACTTTCAGATATTGGACAACCAGTTTTGACTCTGGAGTCTACTCACTTGTGAAGTGTTGACAGTCTGTATGTACCATGTACATGAAGGAGTCGAATCCTTTACTCTCAGTCACTTGCTGAGCATGTGCTGAGCCTCTGTAATTCTAAATGAATGTTTACTCTCTTTGTAAGAGAGGGAGCAAGGTCTAGTGGAACCAACATTAACATATAATGTTGTCTGTTATTTAAAGAACACCCTATACTTTGCAAAGTACCAATCATTTTAATTATTACTCTTCATAACAATCTTGGGAGGACCATGGCTACTAAAAAGACTTTACCCATATTACAGATGGATTAACTAAGGCATGAGAAAACTAAGAAATACCCACAATAGCAGCTGGAATGAGAAGCCATAGACCCAGGATTTCATTTCAACTGCTCAACTTCTGCTTTTTCATTGCTGATGGACCCTTAATCAAATACTGAAAGTTTTGGGGACTTCAGTTAGATCATCTTCAAAACAGAGGAAATTATACCTATACCCTTCCTGCCTCAACAATATTTTGTGCCAACCAATGAGATCATTTTAGTAAAACGCTTCTTAAAGTTGAGCCTCAAGAAGAAGGCAAAGCATGAAATATTAAGTTATTATTTATATATTTATATATATATTTATAAGTATATTGTTAAGATAATTATATTATTATATTTATGGCAGTCCTTGTAATCTCTGAGTGTGACCAGGCATTATCAATCGCAGTAGACAGTGTTTTCCAGGCTGAGTGAGTTTGAGTGAGTTACACTAAGGCACTTTGGTCCCAGTTGTACTTTTCCATTGCCATGAAGCTCTGTATTCTAGTACCTGAGAGCCCAGTAATTATGATAGTAAATTTACATTAATTACGTTGTTTGTTTGAGCTGATAATTGGTCAAAATCTTTCACTCCTCTGCCTATAAACTTGCCATGGCATTCTTGTGTCATTCAATTTCACCTGCTATCAAATACTACTAGCTAAAATGGAATGAACTTAACTTTGGCAACCATGGGACAACTGCTATCTAAACTTTCTTTTCTGGAACATAAGCAATGTTCCTTCTAGATTCTAAAAGTTGTGATCAAACCATAGTGTTACAATACTATCAACAATAACATTATCAATCATAATTGAATAAAACTTACAAAAAATTAAATCTAACACAATTATTTGTTGTCTTAATCATTATTTTACTGTATGGTAATTAGGAACAAATGATAAAAATTCACATAAATAACAATAATTAGTGTCACTTTACAAAACTAAACCAAGATTTTATGGGTTTTCTCTCCCCTTTGTTAGCTTCCCAGTAGGCATAAATGACATTAAGAATGATAATACTCCTAGGTTCATTTAAAGCTCACATTACTCATGTACAACACGTGTTTATATAGCCATACAAACTCACATATACAGAGCAGCATTAAAAACTAATGGATCCATTTGGAAAGCATGCATACAAGATATGTTGAGTTGGAAAAAGCTAAAATCAAGGAAACTTGGAATTAGATGTGGGAAATAGTGAGGAAGGAGTAGTCCAAGATGTCTCTCAGTTTCCTTGCACTGGACAAAGTGTGAGTGGTGGTGCCTTAATCAGTACTTTCGGAAGAAATATGGAGTTCTTCTCAATTCCAGGATGAAAGTAGGATGAGTGCCATTTTAGACATGTAATAATTTGAGCTACTGGCAGGACACTCAAGTGCAGATGTATAACAGGCAGATGACAAGGTGTCTGGAACTCAAGTTAGAACTACATATAGATTTGGAAGACATCAGCAGGTTTATAGTAGGTAAAATCCTTAAAATGGCATTAGAGAGAAGAGAAGCATACGGCGAACACCACTGGTTATTAATGCAATCGCCATCTCCCCTTCTTCCTTACTCACAGGACCCCAGTTTCATTCAGAAGGAAATGTGTCTTGACCCAAAGAATGAATCCAATCAATATAAGCCAATCATGGTCATTCTGTCCTCATATGACTGAGTCATGTTGAATTAGTGCTGTCTAATGAGATGTCAATCTGCTGAGGGCAACTTCTAGGAAAGATTTTCTACCCTGATAAAAAAACAGAGCCATATAGAAGAAAGTCCTTTCTCCTCCTTCCTTCCTTTCTGCATGAAACATGTTCTATGAAGATATGGAGCTTGGAACTGTGATAACCAACTGGCAACCACTGGGAAGACACAGCCACATGCTGAGGGAGGCAGAATGGAAGGAGAAAAAGAACCAACATCTCTGATGACATTGTTGTGCTGAGAACCTACTGCCAGACTTTAAGAAAACAAGAAACATTATTGTGGTTTTAAGCATTTTCATTTGGTTTGCTGTTACTTACAGCCAAACTCAGTCTAACTGTTACAGAGCACTACAGAAAGAACAAAGAGAAAAAGAAACCTGGCCTCTGGTTTGTTTCACCCCATTCTTTCTTGCTGCCACTACTTTCCTAGGGTTTCTGTACCCCAAGTCTGGCTAGAGTAAAACTAAGTATCTTAATATTTTAAGAAATAGAAAAAATACAAAACATTGAGCAAGCAATACCAATTCAAGAAATCTTCAAATGTATAACAGCTGCTCAGTCTTTAATAGTGAAATATTGACTCATTCTAGAAATGGCCTCAAAGTGTTATTCTGACAGGGCCAGTTATGCATATTCTCTACTCCCCACTCTCTCGCTGCCTAAACCATAAGTAGGTCACTATGAAGAGGTTCAACAGTCTTAGCACTGAACTTGTTGGAGTCTATTTCTTTTATTATGATCTTATTCCCCAGTCTCCAAGTTGATGAGAGTAAGGCCACATTTCCACCTTTTAAGTCCAAGGTACAGAAGCAAAAAGCCAAAGGATATTTCTCTAACCCTCCTCCCACTAAGTCTACCCTCTGAGACTTAAAAATACCTACACTCGAACTTTGGGAGGTGACAGAAATAGTTGGAATAGCAATAATTATTGTGCTTGATGTAAAATATGCTTTGTGTCTGTATCTATTCCTTGATTGTGTGGTGCTTTTTTGACTATGTACATTTGTCAAAATTGTCCTCTTGAGGGCCGGCCCGGTGGCACAGCAGTTAGGTTAGCACCTTCCACTTCTCAGAGGCCCAGGGTTCGCTGGTTCGGATCCCGGCTGCAGACATGGCACAGCTTGGCACGCCACGCTGTGGTAGGTGACCCACATATAAAGTAGAGGAAGATGGGCACAGAAGTTAGCTCAGGGCCAGGCTTCCTCAGCAAAAAGAGGAGGACTGGCAGTAGTCAGCTCAGGGTTAATCTTCCTCAAAAAAAAAATCGTCCTCTTGAGTCTTGACCAACATTGGCTTGTCAATATATTTCATAAAATTTTTTATAAAGAATTGAGTATAGAACTCAAGATGTGGTCAGACCAGCACAACCTAGAGTGGTATCTTGTCCTTCCTATTTTAGACACCATGTTTTTGTTAGAAGTGAAATTAGCTTTTTGAAAGCAAGTGACATTGTTGATTCATATAATGTTTGTAGGCAACCAAAACCTATAGGTTCTCAACCTAAGTTCAAAACTTTAAATGTAACCCTGTTAAATTTAATCTTGTTAATTTGGCCCCAGATCTTTCTAGATTATTCCAGATTCTGATTTTTTAACACATGAGCTCTTCCTCTTAACTTTGTGATAGCTGTAATTTGGTGAGCATATTTTTATTTTGTTCATAGTATATTGTATACCCTACAATACTATTGAGCTGTATGAATTCTCTACAAACATTTTTACAGTGTGATCTTGTTTTTATTTAAAATACCTACAATTTGTATTTAAAAGATTATGGAAAGGTATATACCAAAATGTTGACCATCTTTATCTCTGAGTGATTGATTAATTTATAAGTTTTATTTTTTGGTCATATGTTTTTCTGAATTTTTAAATGAATGTATGATTGCACAACAAACTGTCAATTTACACAAAAAAATCTTCTTATGAGTTTGGCTTTTTATTTAGATTGCACATATAAGTGATACTATGCAGTATTTGTCTTTCTCTGTCTGGCTTATTTCACTTAGCATAATGCCCTCAAGGTCCATCCATGTAGTGGCACACAGCAGGATTCCCTTCTTTTTCACAGATGAACAATATTCCATTGTGTGTGTAATATATATATACATATACACCTCACTTTCTTTATCTATTCATTCCTTGATGGACACTTAGGTTGTTTCCATATCTTGGCTAACATAAATAATGCTGCAATAAACATGGGAGTGCAGATATCTCTTCAATATCCTGTTTTCATTTCCTTTAGATATATACCTAGAAGTGGAAATCCTGGATTATATGGTAGTTCTATGGGTTTCTTGGGGTTTTGTGTTTTTTTTTTTTTTTTTTTTGGTGATGAAGATTGGACCTGAGCTAACATCTGTGCCAATCTTCCTCTATTCTGCATGCAGGACACCACCACAGCATGCCTTGATGAGTGGTGTGTAGGTCCACACCCAGGATCTGAACCCATGAATGCCAGGCCACCAAAGCAGAGCACACAAACCAAACCACCATGCCACCGGACCAGCCCCTGGTAGTTCTATTTTTAATTTTGGAGGAACCTCCATACTGTTTTCCATCAACAGTACACAAGGGTTCCCTTTTCTCCACATCCTTGCCAACACTTGCTTTCTCCTGTTTTTTTGATGACAGCCACACTAACAGTTGTGAGGTGATATCTCTTCGTGATGTTGATTTGCATTTCCCTGATGATTAGCAATGTTGAGTGTCTTTTCATGTACCTGTTGGCCATATGTATGTCTTCTTTGGAAAAATGTCTATTCAGTTCCTCTGACCATTTTTAAATGAGATTGTTTGGTTTTTTGCTATTGAGTTATATGAGTTCCATATATATTCTGGATATCAACCCTTTATCAGAAAGATGGTTTGCAAATATTTTTCCCTATTCTGCGGTTTGCCTTTTCGTTTTGCTGATGGTTTCTTTAACTGCAGCTTTTTAGTTTGATGTAGTCTCACTTGTTTATTTTTGCTTTTATGGCCTTTGCCTTAATGTCAAATCCAAAAAGTCATTGACAAGACCGATGTCAAGGAGCAAACCTTGTTTTCTTCTAGGATTTTTACAGTTCGGGGTCTTAAATTTAAATCTTTAATCCACTTTGAGTTGATTTTTGTGTATGGTGTAAGATAGGGGTCCATTTTCATTCTTTGCATATAGCTGTCCAGTTCCCAACACCATTTATTTGAAGAGACTATCCTTTCCCCATTGTTTATTCTTGGCTCCTTTGTTGAAAATTAATTGCCTCTATGCACATAGATTTATTTCCAGGCTATTATTTTCTATTGATCTATGTGTCTGTTTTCATGCCAATATGACATATAGTTGATTACTATAGCTTTGTAATATAGTCTGAAATCAGGAAGTGTGATGCCTCCAGCTTTGTTCTTTCTCAAGATTGCTTCAGCTGCTTGGGGTCTTTTGTGGCTTCATACACATTTCAGGATTGTTTTTCTATTTCCTGGAATAGAATTGGAATTTTGACAGGGGTTGCATTGAATTTGTAGACTGCTTTGGGTAGTACGGACATTTTAACGATATTAATTTGTCCCAGCCATGAGCAAGGAATATCATTTTATTTGCTGCTTCTTCAATGTCTTTCATCAATGTCTTAAAGTTTTCAGTGTACAGATCTTTCATTTCCTTGATTAAATTTACTCCTAAGTATTTTATTCTTTTTGATGCAATTTTAAATGGAATTGTTTTCTTATTTCTCTTTCTGATAGTTTGTTTTTTTTTTTTTTTTTTTTCAAGATTTTATTCTTCCTTTTTCTCCCAAAGCCCCCTGGTACATAGTTGTGTATTTTTAGTTCTGGGTCCTTCTAGTTGTGGCACGTGGGATGCCGCCTCA